GGAGCCATTTTTACATGCACAGCTCGCCGGTAATGTGGCGTCACCTAAGTGTGTCAGTATCATGTCCTAATTAGCCCCCAGTTCCCCACCCTGGATCCTTTCTGACCCAGTCAGATCCATCCTCGTTCAAACACACATCCCTTCTAATTCCTCATAAAGCTGGACTTCTTAAAATTTTATCAGACGCTCTTAGGAAATGTTCTATTATTGTTGTTTGTTAGTGTTTTTTCTAAATTGTTGCCCAGTGTTTCCAGTTTTAGAGGCGTGTCCATATGAAGCATTTGGAAAATCAGCGAAAAAGCAACTGCAGTCTTAATGATTGGACGTAATGGTTTCAACAGATAGAAGAAACCACTGCTGTGTTAATCATGTCAGGAAAGGGCTCGAAATCAGCAGGAGTACATTAAAGGTCACTGTCAGGGCTTGTCAGTTCTACGTTTACCTACTGGTTTACATTTCGGCACAAATCCAGTTTGATCTGTGATTACTTCAAAAGTTTTACAGTATTTTACACGTGACATGATAAAATGGTAACCAGTTCTTTGTGCCTTTTAAATATTATACTAGATTGCCTCGGCTCTAAGATTTAGGGCTTTTTGCTTCTTAACCACCTAATCCCTTTGAATGTTCACACCAGCAGCCTCTGAGCCGGACCCGGCGGTTTTAACCTGCTAAATGTCCATCCTGTCCCGTATTATGAAACTAAGCAGCCCTCTAATGTCTTCCTCTTCCTGTCCGTGGCTCACTGTCCCTCTGTGATTACAGTGGGCAAATTGTTTATGGATGATTATGTAATGAGATTCATTCATTGTCAGTCATGCTTGACGAGCTGCTGCTCCTGGTGTTTCTGCTCAGTCCCGGGCGATTCGAGGGGAAAAAGTGGGAATGCTGCGAGGCGCAGGAGAGAGATGATAGTGGAGTTTAGAAAGTCTTTTCTTTCACTGGGAAAAAAAAAAACAACTTTTCAAGAGTATGCTTATATCTGACTACTTCTCAACTTACTCTTGGTCTTTTAACTTTAGCTTACATGTTCATATCTGAGTCCCCTTGCAAAAGCATACATCCCGCCTAACTGTTTTTTTTATGCTATTAATAAAAACTTCAATGTATATTATTAGACTTTATGGAATAGACCAACACAAGGTTGCGCACATACGTCGAGTGAGAAGAAAACGATGCAGGGTTTTCAAAATCTGTTTTGCACATAAATGGCTGAAGAGTGTTTCATGCATTTGTTTTTAAGAAACAAGTGTGGAACTACAGCTACAGGTTTTAGGAATTGCGTCTAAATCAGCCTTGCATGAAGTCTAAGTGTTTTGTACATTTTTCTTTGTGAGAAAACTATCTATGAACAGCAATTGCAGAACATTAATTTAGATTTTGACTGATTTTTACTCTTAAAGATAATGAAGAAGGTGGTGGTTCAACTTGAAGAAGTTGTGTAATTGTCAGCTAAAAAAAAAGTAAAACAGAAGTCACTCAACTTCATTTTCAGATGCAGAAAAAAAATATTTCTAGCCATCGTTGGGCATCTGTTTGATAAAAATGTGTTGTGAACAATGGTGTCATAATGTATTCTCTGATAAATACTCACTGATGGGTTTTCACTGTGAAAACATTAAAATATCAACACAAAGCTTAGCATTTTTGTTTTTTTTTCCCTGTGAAGTTCACATCTCTGTTTCAAACTATTGGTGGTAATACCTTTGATGCCAACGATTTTAAATAGTAATTTATCTTTTCCCCCTGCCCCCCCCCCCCCTTTTTTTTTTTCCACCATACTATTGTGTTTCAGGTGGATGGTGAGCATTTTTTTTTTATTATTTTATTTTTACTCTTAAACTGGCATTAAATCTTGGCAACAGTATTAAAGCAAAGGGCAGGACTAACACAGGACCAGCTGCTTCTGGAACAATATGAGACATTACTCTTCATTAATTATCTTATAAATCTACAGTAAGATCTTGATATTAAGTGTAAATTTAGGACATTTTGGGACTTTACAATCCTCTAACAAGTTCAGTTCGTTTTAAAACAGCTGAGATTCCCTGGTGGTACTTTTGGGAGCAACCAAAAAAAAACGGTTTATTTTGTGAAAGAAAATGTTAACTTCCATGTGGTTGTACGGCTCTAAGCCTCTTAATCTGCGCTGACCGCAGGCTCTTCGTGATGCGTGTGCTGCGCGGCTTTGAAACCTCAGTAAAATTTCTTGACTGTACCTGGATTTTTCAATTTGCACTTCCTCTGTGTATATTAATAGCTAAATCCAAAACCTCATGTCAGCCCCACTCACAAACACACACACACACACACACACACACACACACACACATGATCCATGTGTGCTAGGAACTACAAGTGTGTGCGATATGGAAAGAAAAGGGTGGAAGAGGAGACGGTTTGCTACCAGAGGCTCGTTAATCCTGCTTGAAAAGTTGGATTATAAATCCTGAGCAGAGTTTGTGAGATTATTGAACATAATTTAAAAACATCTGAGACGCATTTAAACATGGAGGCTTGTTAGCAGGAATCTGTCTAACTTAAAAAGGTGGAAATTGTGAGATTTTTTTATGTGCATAGTTGTAACGTGGAGTTGCATATCTACATATGGCCTTAAGTTTTTACTTTTGCACGACCAAATTCATAAACAGTAAAATTGCTGAAATGTGAAAGTTTCTTAAATCAGTTGAACTTACTCTCAGTGTCCCACTGCAGATGTTGACCCAAATCTGTGTTCAAAAAAGCTACAAAGTTTCCTTTTTGCTAATTTGGTGTGAGATGATAAACGGTAGTTTGTCGCATTCTAAAACCTCTCATTTATAAACCACCAGGACGATTGAAAATATCATTTTTCATCCTATTAATGAAGAAACATGATGACACATTTTGTAGGCCACCACTTTGTAGTTTGTTACTTTGCTACATAAACCTTTGTTGAAGATCCTGTTTTTAGTTTCTGCAGTTTATTAATTTAGATTAAGACTGTTTGATGGCTGGGTCATTAAGTGCATGTATTTAAACACTTTGCTCTAAAAAAAGAGACTTATTTCAAAGTTGAGAGTTTTTAAAACTTCATAATTTCATAAAAACAAAAAACAAAAAGAGTCTGATGCAAATGTCTAACCAGTTACGTCTAAATTGTGAAACCAACCAGAATAATGTAGACTTTTTAATAGCAGCTGAAATGGTTTCTATTATTATCTTTTGCTTGACCACGGTCTGGCGTGTCTATTAAGCACGTTAGAGGCAAGAGGTAGCCGATGAATTATTAATCCTATGGATAAGTCTTGATGCATCTTGTGTCCAAAATTTTGACTTGGCTCACTCCAGTCTATAAAAGTCAATCTAAGACACTTACTCTCTTTTTTTAAATCCACTTTTTCCTTTCCTCGCTTCCAGCAATAATTTTGTCTTGGATATTCCTTTCGCATCTGCCCATGTTGGATGTTCACTTCTAATAGTTTTTTTGTCTGACTTTGTTTTTGTTGTTGTTGCATTAATACGTGGCGTTTCTTTGTAGCAAAACCAAATTGCCATTTTAACCAGCCTATACAGGACTGGAACCCAATATTCTGATTGCTTTTTCCAGCTCTCAGGAGCTGTGCTTTATGAATGTCGGTGTGCATCAACAAAATGAGTCACAAGGACATCATTTTAAAATTCAGACACTTCTCTAGTGCCTCTCTAATTGCACTGCCTCTGAGGAGTTTTTGAATCCTTTATTATTGTTATAAGGCTCTGTTACAAAGTTGTACGTTCGATTCCAGCTTTTTCCAGCCGCAATGTGCCCCTGTATGAAGGCACTTAACCTCAAATTCCCCCTCACTCTGAGAGGTCAGTATGACTGGAAAAGCTCAATGTAAGTTCAGTCCATTTACTAAGTCAGGACACTGTTTACAAGTTTTTAATCAACAGTTGAATATCTAAACTAGTCCAGGTTTTCCGGTTTTCCTCGTTAGTCCATTTATCAAAGAATATCTAACAAAATTCTTGCATTTAATCAGTATCCATAAGTGACATTTGACTTGATTTTTTTTTTCTTTCAGCACATGAAACTTTCACTGTTGGTAGAAGGAAAAAAAGCAACGATTTGAGTGACTTTATCGAGGGACAGTTTGCCGAGGTTAGATGAGTGACTGACTCCTCCAAAACAGAAGCTTGTGGGCCTTACCTGATCTGTAGCTGTCATTATTGATCACGATCCGAAGCGAGAACAGTGGTAAGCCTATTACAGAGCAATAGATCTTTGCCCAAACCCAAATATTTTCTATACTTCTTTAGGTCATTTTGCAAAGAAGGCCCCAGTATGCCTCTTACTGCTCCAAGACATGATGTCTCACTCCATCACATCTTGAAGCGAGATGCCACAGCACATTTCCAGGCATCTGGTGGAGTCCATCCCTCAGTGGGTCAAAGTGGTTGTGGCTAATAAAAACAACAACAACAACAAAAAGCAATCTATGCTGTTGTTCATAGATTAATGCCTAATCTGTGAGTATTTTACATTTTTATCCAAATGGAAATGACTAATAAACTTCTTTAGGAGTCAACAAAATGAGTCGCAAGAATTTATTTATTTTTTATTCTTGCCAGAGTCAGTCAGTCAGTCAGGATGATAACAGTCTTCAGTTATGTCTTGCTAATCTCTCCTTGTGTCTCTCACTATGAATCAACATGTGAACAGTGGCTGTCACAAAGCAGCTGAGCAGCTGTGACAACCACAGATCAGTTGGTGTGTGTGCATGTGCAAATGTGCTTCTGTTTTTACCAATAGCATTGTGCGTGCATTTGTGTGTGTGACTGTGTTCACGCTTGTGTCTTAGTTTGTGCCCGCCTGAGCACGTTTGTCACCAGGGGCTGGATGCTGAAATTTAGCTCCAGCGAATGAGGGAATATTCGGGGTGGTCATGTGACTTTGTGATGTCAAAAAGAGAGAGAGAGAGAGAGAGAGAAAGGGAAAGAGAGAGTAAGGTGCAATTTAGCCCCACAGCTGATCTGTGCAGTGCTCAGAGAGAAGCTGAGACAACCAGACACAAACACACACGCGTGCGCGCGCACTTTTGCTTTTTCACTGCCATGCACTTTTTTCTTTCGCCCGTAAGCGCACATGCACTTTACATGCCTAACATCCATGCAGTTGCATATACAAACAACTGCAAGGAATCACTCTAAAATAGACAGGGGATCATTTCTTTCCTCTACTTCTCAAGATCACAACTGTTTGGTAAGTGAAGACTCCTCTGCCTCCTGGACAGCAGCAACAGGACACTTGAAGCAGAAGAAAGCAACTAAGGACACAGAAAGAGGAATCAAAAAGGACAACCACAACTAAGGGAGCGGAAAAAGGCTGACAAGCAAACAGGTTGGAGGGAAGATCAACAGAGGGAAGACCCACTGCAGTGCATAAGAATGTCTTTCCTTTCTGGCTCACCCTGGCAGCAGCCTGGCATCATTAATGGAAACAGTGGGTATGGACAACCTTCCAGCGGGTATCAGCAGCACAAACCTCCCGGTACTCTCTCCGGTGCCAGCATCCCTGCCGTGGTGGCCTCTTCTCCACTGTCTCCCTCCAGTCCAGCTGCTCCCCACCACGGCGACCTGCATTGCCAAGGCCAGATGGCACCAGGAGGAGCCACTGCCATGGCACAGACGGGATCCAGAATAACTCTGATGGAAGATGAAGGGAAATTAGGCCGAGGCAGCACCGAGGGGAATTCATCGGGGATGTTGGCATCAGGAACCCCGAGCTTCACCACACCGTTGTTGAACATAGAGGATGACTGGTCTAGACCAGAAAGGCCAAAGGAAGATGGACTTAAGGTGGGAGTGGTTGGGGCTGTATTAGGGAGTGCAGGACAGAGCCCCAGCAGCCCCCTGTCGTCACACTCCTCCCCAACTTCAACATCACCCTCCCCTTCTCTCTCACCAGGGAGAGTCTTTTCGAATTCTGTCATTGATCCTAAGCCATTTGGACAGAGCAATCTCCAGCGAAATATGGAGGGATTTTACCTTCAGGGATCACAAACAGCTGTCCAAGGACACGTCTTCTCACCGGTGTCAGAACGTCAGGAAAAAATACCATTAAGTCCATCCATCGCCAGAGATACAGTTTCACGTGAAGTAAAAAAAGAGGATGAGAGGATAACAACTGGAAGCCTGTTGAAAACTCTGAAGGAAGATTCTAATGCAAGTAAGCCCGGAAATCAAATACTCAAGCCATACTTAGGAGAGTCAGGTACAGATGTACCTGCTCCTTCTGTGTCTGACCTAACAGGTAGCAAAGCTAGCACCGCATTGCCCACAGGACATGCACCTGCATCTCTGTCTCCACCCAACAGAGCTGCTGGTAATGCAGGACTGAGTGTTGTTGGAGGGTACAGGTCAGACAGAGAAAACTTAAGCCATACTGAAACGGGAGCAGCAACACGTGTTCCACCAAAAAGCAGTGTAACCGAGAAAAGAGTTGCAAGTCCTGGCCCGGAACAGGCTTTCAATCACCACGAGGACACAACAAACAGAGAAGCCAAAACAACGAGAGGTAATGACATCCCTCAGCGAACTGCAGTGAGACGTGCAATGTCTGACTGTTCACATCTGTCTGTTCCCATGGTAATGGCCGGGGCATACCCTACGGGTTTGACCGTCACACAAGTGATGGCACCCAGCACGCCAGATTTCATCCCAATGGGAACACCCAGGCCCTCTTACCCTCATGTAGCTGTCCGTCGATCACTCACGGTTACAGACGGTTCTGAAGGCTCCGCTTCAATGGCAACGATGATCTCAACTCCTTTAATGATGTCACCTGTGGTGCCGTCTTCTCCTCCCCCTAAGAGGCATCATGGTAGCTGTGAAACCAATGTTCTACTTCCTGTTCCAGCTCCTGTAGGAACGCTGGCTAAAGGCGCCCAGGACACTATGACAGTAACCACCGGTAAGACGTCTCTCCTGTTTGGTATGTGTCAGGGGTCAAATGAGAGACTAAAACATGAGAATATCCTCATGTTCACAAGTAACTCATTTCTTTAAATGTCTGTTGCTGGTCCCAAACCAATTACAACTAGAACTATCATGATATTAATTTTCAAAGTTCAACTCTCAGACACTGCTTAACCTTTTTCAGTGTAGATGTCTACTGAGGACACAACTGTCCTCCTAATGTTTGTCATAAAAACTTATTGTAATGTGAGTAACTAGTAGACAATTCAACTGCGATTCAGAAAGTCTTCCATTTCTGCGTTTCTAGTGATTTTGCTTCATGTTTTCTTTGATCAGCTACAATCAGCAGGGTCCATTGCCACTGGTTCCGACTTGTTTCTGCTTTTATTGTCAGCTTCAGACTGGGTCCGCCGTTTGTTCACATTGAAATGTGTGTTATTTAATTTTTAGCTTTATTGGCTGCTAATTTTGTTATGACTGAACAGATAAGTTACAGCATGACTTTGACTCTTCTTGTTTATCGCTTTTATATCAAGTACCTCCATGCAACGCCTTTGCTGTTTTGAGGACAAAGATAACTTTTTTGGATGTACTTGCCACGTCTCCAGAGTTGAAAACTTCCAACAGAAGTTCATTGTTTCGATTCTCAGCCATGATTGTCTAGTTAGCCTCTAAAACGGAGGAGAGGAGCAAAGTGTCGGTGTTTCTGTAGCTCTGCTGTCCGAAGTTGAAATTGAAGTTAATCTTCTACAATTATCCTGTAAAATGGCATGTACCTCACACACAGGTGGGGATTTGTTTGCACTGCATTCGTCTGTTTGGCATCTCCATTGAACCTAAACTCATCAAAACTAAAATTAAAAAAAAAAAATTAAAACCAAGAAGATGATTTGTTTCTGTTGTTTCACTAAAACAAAAGTACAGACTGAATGTAAAACAGCAAATGGAGTTTTTTGTTGTTGTTGTTGTTGCATGAATGGAATCTGAATTCAAACAAGTAATCTGACTTTCACAACAAGACATAAGTAGTTTTAATTTGTGATGTTTTTTTGTGGATTGGTGTAGCCTTTTTAACAATCATGAAAAAAAAGGAATCAGAGAAGCAAAACGGGTAATTAGAAGCAAACGATTATATTAGTGGATGTAATGTCTCAACGCTCCTCTACCTCAAAGATGGTTTCCTCCTTTGACGCAACAGCGCTTAGTTTAAATCAAGTTAATCTACCCCTAACATTTTACCAGACAGGTTTAAGTAAACAAGATTTTCCATAAAGACGTAGAAAATTAAAACCCCACTATAAATATTTTCTTTCCTGACAGAATTTGAACAAATTAAATCAGTAAGAGTGCTGGTTTTCCTTAGGGCTCGTTTCGTTGCTGTATTTCATTTAATTTGAGAATTGTCAAACAATGAGTTAATTATGTTTTAATGTTCTCTGGTGATGGCCGGGAAGTTTTGTTAAAGCTAATGTTGAAATTAAAAGACTGAGATTTGCATCTTAAATGTTATAAAACCAGTAACACGCATCAGTTTTCTTCATTTAAAACTGAAATGTGTTATTTCCATAGTTTGTTTTTGTATCTTTGGTCTTATCAAATCATCCAGAGCATGGTGTTCTGCTTTTCAGGCTACAGACACCAGGAAAGCGGAGACATTGATTAGACATTGACTCTGACTGTACTCATTCAAATATAGAACAGCTATTTCTAGCTTTGTGTCTGTCTGCGTTTGTGTAGGCACTCTTTTGCGTGTGTGTGTGTGTGTGTGTGCGTGTGTGTGTTTCCGCGTGCATCTGTGCGTAGGTGAGCAGCGTTCACTGACGTGAATCTTACAGATTTTTAAAGGCAAACGCCTACATAGACACACAGAGTAAACATCATGTCTGCACTCTCAGATCATTCATCACCAAAGGAAAGTAATAAATTAATATACACATACAAATGGTGCGTGTACAAAAAAGAAATAAAAAAGAGTGGCAGACAGAGGTAATACCTTCCTAGCGTAGGATTAGACCCCACCTCGCCACCGAGATGTTTTCTCGGACTTTGATTGGTTTTCAGGATGCGTTGCTTATTGGTATCAATCAGAGCAGCAGGGTGTCATTCAGACAGTCATTTTTCATATTCATTTCTTATTACATAGCCATATGTAATAGATTAGAATATATCTTATATATGTATACACACAGACTGAAGTTTTCAAGCATTTATTTCTGTTACTTGTGATGATTTTATTCTTCCGGCTAGTTCATGGAATAATTTATTGAATATGACCATACATCAAACACATTGTTTATGATTGTTTTTTGTTTGTTTGTTTTTTTTTGGTGCTGGGTGCGGTGCGACACGGTGGCTACCGAACAGGAGTCTGGGGTGTTATTGAGGTTCTACATTTTTCAAAATTTGCTTCCCACATTTGACACAATCTGACTCCTGTGCTGAAGGGTCAAGACTTTGTGACGCACAAACCTGAAGCTGTTGTAGAATTGTGCTTTCCGTCTTCTGATTGGTTTTGATTCCCATTAACTTCTGCAAAAGGAGGAGCTTTCCCTGAGCAGCCTTCATGCTAGAAACACCTCTGACGCAGTCGTTCATATCCTCATTTTTTTCCAACTACGCTGTGCGATTGATAAACCGTGTGTCTATCTTTGGTCTTGTGTTGCTTATAAAATGAGGGCAGATGGCAAATGCAGACAAAAACAGTCTGAGAGCACAAAGTTATAGCTCATTGCCTCTGCAGCTTGTTGTTGTGCAGTTGGAGGAGAGTGAAGGTGAACTGCTCCAGGTGAAGCGTCGGATCCAAAAACAGGCTCAGGAGGGGTGTACGTCGTAAACCCAAATCATATATATATATATATAAAATCATATTTATTTTAAAAGGACACATTTAACACTCTGATCATTAGCTTAAATGCAAAGCGAAACACTTTTCGGAGTGAAGTCTTGTCTGGGATTCTCTCAATTTTCTCTGCAGTTAACAAACCAGCAGATGCACCATGCACCTGTTGTACAGAATCTGTCCTTGCTTTTCGGCATGCCACCGCTTTCTTTCTTTCTTTCTTTCTTTTTTTTTTTGTTTTGAAGATAAGACCTCAATTTCTGAAGCTGTCGTTGCATTTTCTGAGCAAAACTGCAGGCGTACTTCGTCCCACATGCAACAAAAGAGCAATCGATGAATCGAGTTACGGTTGACTTGTTTTAACACATTGCCATTGATTTTATGTGCCACAACACAGATCGTTTCCTGCAAAAGTTTCAAAAGCTTTTCAGCTTTTGTGTTTGTTGAGATATTTATACGTTTTACAAATAAAAAGCAACAGTTTTACAAATTCAGCATAATTTTTTTTTTTTTTAGAACAACCGAAATTATCTTACAGCCCAACGCCTAAGTCAGCCAGACTGCGAGTTCATTTGAAGTCCTCTCTAAATCTTTTGCTCTCTCCACCACAAACAGTTATTCCATCAGCAGCTGCAGCTGATTGCCAGCAGCTGTATGTTTTAGTCTGCAGTTTTTCAGTCTGCAGTTTAATGCCGGATGAGTCACTAGGCTGATGTTGTTGGGTGCAGTGACACGGCACTGAAAATGACCATTTTACAAGCAACAAATCACCAGTTTGCTAATCTGAAGCTCTGATATTCCAGCCTCTGCTTTACAGGTTAAACATTTTGAGTGCAGCTTGTGCACATTAAGCAGACTATATATATATATATATATATATATATATATATTCAGAAGAAAATCACATGCAGTAATAAGGACAGACTCATGTGTCTTTTTAAAAAATATTATGTATTGTATACAGATATAGCATATAGCATTGTAACTCTGACTGTCAAATTACATTATCCATACATACTATATTTATAACACAGTGTGAGATTTACGGGTTCAATCTTAAGGTTTTAATTGGTCCAAGTTAGAGTTAGTTTTTTTTTATTTTTTTTTTTTATCGCATATCACAACAATGCTCTGCACATTACTGGTTAAGACCAGACCGTGATTTATGACACATTTATAAACACAGTGTCAAGGAGGAAGCATAGCCAATGAGCTCAGGAAAGACGGTGGTTGCTACAGATCTATTTGGCGGGTGGTAATTTGCTGGAATTTGTTTTTGTTGCCTGACAACGTCATTGTCTTCCTGGTTTCACAGATCTGGATACAATGCGCTTGGATCACAAGAAGGAGCTCTAGAAATGAAAGAGGGCCGTGGGGGTCGGAGGGCTCTGGCTGTTTCATTACGTCTTTGAAATCTCTTCTTATTTTTCTTTGCTGTTCTCTAAAGAAAATGGATTCTAATCATGCACATTTCCTTTGTTAGACACCAAAACACTGCAGGGAGTCCTGAACATTAAAATTCATGAGACTACGCCGCAGAGAGGGTTTAGGGAAGAGTTGGAGCAAGTTATGAGTTTTCACCGCACTAAGCTTAACGTTGCCACATTGGAATTGACTTCATTACTGCTACAGGGGAAGATGAAGAGGCGGATCGCTTATGCAGATTTGAAATGGCTTTAACTGAACGCCGAACATGTGTGGCGTTTGCTTTTCCGTCGCCAGACAACGGCCACACGGTTTGTTTTCTTTGCTCAGGTTGAACACGGCCATGTTCGCTCGCAGACTGAGCAAGCACGAAGGCACGGGTCAGAATAACACAATAACTGTATGTCAAGTAATGACAACAAGCAACAGGCTGCGTGTGCCATCAGGCAGTCGTGAGGAAGCCTGAGCAGCAAATTAAGACGAATCGAAGAAAAAAAAGCACGGATGATGCAGACGGTTTAGTTCAGAGGGAGATGAAGGGACGCCGCATGCCGCGGCTTGGCCTGTCCGCTCTCGGTTATGTAACAGACATGTTGGCGGCCTCAGAGAGCGCTGGTGTTTTTCTAACCCTTACTCTCCCAGCTGTCTGTCTTTAACCGTCAGACTTATGTAAACGTTGTGACTGAGTCTTTCTCCTTTTGATTATCACTTTGCTCCTTCCTTTTTTTTGTTTCTTCTCATCTCTCTAACCAGATAGTTTTAAACTCTGCTCCTGCACCACTATGTATGACTGGAGTTTATTGGAAAATGACAAGGACCAACTTTTCTATCCGCATACTTTCTACAGTGCTCCGAAAAAAAAAAAAAAAAAAAAATTATGATTAGTCCCGTTTCAGGTTTCTCCTGTTTCTTTATGTCGCACTTTGATGATATTTCAGGTCATCAAATTTGGAAAAATCAAAAGAGTTCCCAAATGAAGACTTTTTTTAGTTATTCAAACTGAACTGATGTTTTTAAGAAAAGCAATATTTTTTGCAACTCATCCCGACAACGATCGAATCTTTTACATTGCTTTGGAGGATTTCCCCCCCCCCCATTATTCTTTGCAGATTATTTTAACTCAGGCACAGCTGTTCAAGTTTACCGTTTTTGAATCTTATGAAACTTTTATATCTTTCTGGAAAGTTACTCGTAATTATGTTTAGTCTTATCTATTTCCCTTGTTTTGTCTTATTTAATCGTGTACGAATTTAAAAAAATGTAAAGTAATTATGTCTGTATGTAAATTAATGTACACATTTGTGCTTGAAACAAATCAAAAATACTTGGTAAGATTTTGTGTTTCTGGAGTGAGGCTCACTCCAGAAATGTAATTTTTATTTGTTAAGGCCATCAGAGGTGCATCGTCGGCATTGTTCGGATAAATATCCTGCTGTTCAGCCCAGGTGCACTTGAGCTTAATTATTACTGGACACTAATTTTAAGTTCTTGTTAACGGAGAGGAGAATTCAAGGCTCCATTTGTTATCATCATTAAGATGCTTTTTGGGAAATATGAGACGGACCTTTGCCTCGTTTCTGGTCCATCGGTAGTTTTTGCATTGGATCCTCCCATGGAAGCCATTTTTCCCCCCCGTTCTCTTTCGTGATGTTGAAACTTGAAGCTGCAGAGGAAAGCGAGGCCTGCTGTGCTGTGCATGTTGTTCTGGTTTGTTCTGTGACGAGTCATTGATGCGAACTTAATGAAATGTTGGAGACTTTGTGACTGATGGTACCAGTGACCTTGTGTCGCATGTGCTCCTGAATTTCTTTAGATCCAAGCATTATGTGTTGCATTTTGAGGTCTTTTAATCTACTTAATGTTGTCAGATGGGTTCTTTTGAAGATTTCTCGATTCTGTAGGATTGTAACACAAGTGTTCAGGCTTGAAAAAAAAAATCAGTTAATTTGTGATTTATCAACAGCAGTAATTACTTTTTACAATTGTCCAAATTACTTTCCTTAGATTTTCATCCTTAATAATTTTTTTTTTTTTGTTGAAAACGGAAACGTATAAAATACAGCCACAATCCTTGGCTGAACTGTGATTAACACAAAGTATCAGGGTATCATACACTTTATCATACACTTAACTGTATAAGCGTAACTTCTCCACAACTTTTCACAGTTGGAGAGAAGATTTAATCTCTACAACTTTGAGATTAGAAAGAGTTTAAAATGGATCTTTCTGGAGAATATTTCAAATGCAATGTGTTGCTCACAGTTTGGATTAAAAAGGTAAAAAAAAAAAAAATTGACAGAACAAAAGCTAGCATTTGAAATCCTGATGCCAAACCCCCACCGACTACTGTCAGGACTGGGGATGACGGTGCTGACATGGATTTTGAGGAGACTGCCTGTCACCATTGTGAGCGCTTACATAAGGCCGTGCATTAGACTAAATGGGTTGTCCTGTTTACCGAGTGGACCCAGAATCATCTGCTGCCACGACCTACATAGAATCTTCCACTTGGATGTTCAAATCTATAAATAACAGAAGTGCAGATGAAAAACTAGCAAGTGATGTGATGTGATACTTTTCTGTCGGTGAAAGATGTTTCACTTCTCAGAACCACAAGTCGAATGTGATTCTATTAAGTGATGCAATTTATTGAGGTTTTCATTTGTTAAATGTTTGAAGTGTTTGAGTTTTTGTTTTGTTGTTGTTGTTTTTTTGAGTGTGAACATATGTGCAAATGTAAGCTTTAATGAAAGCGAGGAAAGACTGCATAACCATGTCACTAAAGTCATTAGGGTATATTTGAAATAAATTAGGGATAATGTATCTTCACTCCAGTCAGAATGAAACATGTTCAAGTGGATTCGTTTCCAGAACATGGATATTTATTCTGTGACGTTATTGACTGGATCAAGGAAATTTAAATCAGGATTGTTTTCATTTCGATTGAACCGGATTTAAAATGTGTTTCTAAATAATCGCTGATAAAGAAGCTTAAATGTGTCAAACAAACATAATTCATCATGCTTAAAGCACCTTTTTCATTTGAGATAAGCTAACATTGCGATGGACACATTGACAAAATTTCATTTTTAGCTTTGAATTTGACATAACGCAGTGAATGTTAAACTTTTTTCCTCTTTTTCTTTAATCTGTGCTCTTAACGGTCAAATAGTGAGAATGTGTGCTCAGCTTTTGTGATCCTGGCTGCAGTGATGGAAACCTGCATCCATTTATTCCACAAAACATGCATTAATTTTCCTGAAGGCAGATCACAGCAAGATTAATGAGTTGAAGACACCACCTTGCCAGATACTTTGCTGCTTTTTCTGGCACAGTCCAAATAAAAATCCTCACTGCCTGTCTTTGCAGCCACTGCTGTCAAAACGTGCCACATGATCGGTGCTCTCGTAGTTTCAGAATTAGCATGTGAATGCACCCATTTCAATCAGCTTTTTACTTGTCTTACATGTCTCTTTTCTAATCAATTCTTTGGTGAGCTACTTTAGGACATTGTAAAATGTCAGCCTCATTTGTGTCCTCTGAACCATTACAAATGAAGTATTTTAAGCAACAGCAAAACTTGCGAACTAATCAACTCAGCCTTTTTCTTATAAACATATATATATAAGCCAAACACTGGCCTGTTTGTATCACATAAATGTCAGATTTCTTTGAAATATGACCACGATTTTAAACGCATTTCTTAAACAATAGGTAATACATCTTCCCTTCTTTGCAGATTAGAGAAAATGTTCATATATTACAAGTTTTACACTTCAAGTTTTAAACTTCAATTAAATTATTAATTTCTCTGTTCAATCAATTCAATAAACTGTATTAAATCTAATTAACCTCAAATAATTAATATTCTACAACTTGCATATTAATTTCCAGAGAATCTACCAGGATAAAGGAACAAAAAATATACAATGGATGTTGAAACTTAACAAACTTCTGATTTCTAGCATGCTGCTTAATATTACAGGTCAATACTGTCCAAAATGTGGACTTGTTTGTAATTTAATACAAAAGTAACTGCTTGGTAACGATGGCTTTAGCAAGAAGATCCTTTAGTAACTGTTTGGTATTTGCCCCAAAACAGTGTATACCAGATCTGTTTGTTATTTACATTTTACAAGATATATTTTAAATTAGGTTGATCACGTTTTCTGAAATCTCTCTCCAAAACTTGGCATTTTACCAGCTAAATTGTATGTGCTCACTGTATATGTTATTATCAGCTATTTTCTCAAAGCTTGCTTTATTAAATTAGCTTAACTTTGACCACAAAACTCTTTCCCTGGCAGTGAAATCTGACAACAAGGAGAAGCAGGAGAAGATGGACGTCATCTCCAGCAAGACTGACAGGATCGACAACGTGGACAAGAAGAAGGAAGAGCAGCTGAAGAAGGAAAATAACACTGACAAGAACCAGAAGCCAGAGATGATCCTCAAAAGTGAGGAAAAGATGGAGAAGCTGAACGACAAGGCTGGCGAGAAGCCGGAGAAGGTGGACAAGCCGGAGAAGACCAACAAGGACGAAAAGAAAGAGGAGGAGAAGAAGGAGGAGAAGGGAGGAAAAGGCCCGGCCAAGTCTCCCACAGGCAACGGCAGCAAAACCGTGCCAAGCGCCGACAGCAAGAGCAAGGTGAGCGTCTGTGACACACCAACCCAAAGTGCCCTTCACACACACACACACACGCACACTCCCTGTTCACGAACTCACATCAGTCCAGGTGGCAGCGGATTCAGTGGTAACAGAAATGCTCTTACCACACCAAAGTAATCTTTGATCATGCGGATATTTAATGTGGGTGTTTTTGGATGTGCTGTGGTGCGCGTGTGTGTGAGTCACACCTCAGGCCACTTTCCATATCATCTGCTCTCTGTGGGTTGCTCAGTTCTTTTATTTGATGCTTTTATGATTTACTGCTCATTACCTACACAAGGTGGGTTTCTGGTTGATCTTTTATAATCTTTTTTTTTAATTATTTTTTTTATGGTTGCCATATGGACTCTGGCTATGCTGCCATGTTTCTGTTGCTGCTGAGATTTCACCGCTGCATTTTTTTTTTCCTCCCCTCTTTGCCCTCCTTTATTTATTTTTCCCTTCCTTCCCTTTTGGGTTTTATATATTTATTTTTTGCTACTCTGCCCTGTTTTTTTCCTCCCCATTTGCATTCATAACCCAGCCTGATGTGGGTCCAACCAAACAAAACTCAGCCAAATCGCGTCCATCCACCCTTTCCACCAATGATGCGGCCAACTCTGCCAAACGCCCCTCCCCCCCTGCAGCCAATAAAAAAAGCCCCGCGCCCAAGGCGACCACACCCACCGCTGCAAAACGTCAGCCAACCACAGGCTCGACCAAGGCTGCCAAGGTGAGTTCAAATCCTTTGTGTTGTATATGAAATGATGCAATGAATCAATAAAACCTTCATGATGAGAAACCGATCAGCATGTTGTTGCGTAGAGGAGTAGGGAAACGTCTCGGTGACCAGCCGTGCAGTGTCCACTTAAACTTTGCAAAAAAACTTTATGATCAGGACATTTCACTTCTGCTTGCAGACGCTCATAAAAGGTGTTTATTTTTTACCCACACAAAATCTCCCGTCTAATAAAACTTTAAAAGTGCTTCTTTTCCTGTGGGACGTCAGACATCAAGGGCCATCCCTCCGTCCCAAATCTCATTTCAAATCTCATAATATTAAAGCCTCATCCCACCTGCTTTTCTTCATGAATTTCAGGTGTGCCGCCTTAACCTTTCATTAACTTCCATCCTTTGTTTTACTCATCGCTGCCTGATGAGAATTGTATTGGCCTGTGTGCACACAGCGGCGAGAGGAAGCACGCGTACCAAAGAGGCAGAAATATACATTTATGTTCGTACTGTCACACAAAAGGATTAACATCCTCAGAGGGCGCTGCTGTGCATGGAAGCTTAAAGGCCACCGATACTCAGTGCCTCAGTAGGAAATTATGCAAATACCACGGCGAGTCTTTATCACGTTTAACTGAGATAGAAAAATCCTCAACAGTAGAGCTAATTCACAAAGCCCTTAGTGTGGATTAAAACGCCTACCTCTGCTTATTGCATTTGACTTCTGATCTTTTTCAGTAACAGTCAGTGTTTAAAAATGTGTTGGCGACTTTGGAGAAATTTGAGTTTAACGGTGTTGAAATCTTTTTTGGTGTGACAGACTGCTCTAATCAGGAGTCTAAACGGAGAACCTTTAAGCACAAAGTTAAACTTTTTAATGGAGAAAGAGAATTTTACCCTTAAAGGTAAAGAGCGTGGTGACCGCTGTGCTTTTGTGTGCTTGGCTGTCGGTGCGATTCAGCCCCTTCCTTAGACATATAAATGTCTCTGTGGGGTCCCATTACTGAAAATCTCCTGTCTCTCTCTAAACATGACTTTAATACCTTTATCTGTACTTTAAGCTCAACTACAACAAATGACTTGGTGGCAAACCATTTAAACTGATAAATGATACCATGTAGTTTCTGCTGTTAATCAACTGCAGGCAATAAGTGAGTCCTGTGGGTTCATGCGTTTGGTAAACGACCCGAGTGAAGTGGCCCAGCCTCTACTGTCTGCTTTGAATTTCAGACTCCAGAAAATGGCGCCGCGGAGAAACGCCCACCCGTACCAAAGGCCACGCCCACTCCTCGGCAGGCCCCCAGTAAGAACGTCACCTCTGCGGCGGCTGCGAATAAAGCCACAGGTACACACAGCGTCATCTCTGACAAGACATCTAGAGTTCCTGTTCTTCTTTCCACACAATTACTTTCTAAAAAACATCGTTGTCTCTGAGAGTCACTCTAAGAAAACCTCCGACTGTAACTGGAGCAGTGAGACACACTGGCACCCCTCAGGCAAAAAGCTCACCGAATTGTTATCATATGTTGCACTTTAGATCCAAGTGCAACCTTTCCTAGACACAGCACTCATATTTTTATCTGCACATCACAAACAGAATCTCACCTCTCTAAGAAAGGAGGCTGTGAATCAGTCAGGGACATGTTTGCGTCAAACTGCCGTCTTTTTCTTTCTCCCCCACCCCTCCTCTCTCTTCTCAGCTAGCAAAAATGACAAGAATGAGAACAAGACGGGGGAGGCCAAGAAACCCAAAACTACAAGTAAGAAAAGTAAAGTTTTATTCCTGGTTACAATATTAAGAGCTATGTAAGATGTCAGGTATTATAGTTAAGACTGAATGTGATCGTTTCCTACTTCACAGACGTTAAAAGGTAATTCTCTTGTCCCCTCCAGCGCGTCCTCGCCCCGCATCCACAGCCACTCCGGCAACCCCATCTGCCTCCACCAACGGCGAAGGCGCCGCCAGCCATCGCCGCCGCGTCATCACGAAACCGCCGGTGCCCAAGCAGACCCCTCTAGAGAAGAAGCCAGCGGCGCCTCGCCCTCCCCGAACCCCCCGACCCATCAACGCTCCGACGCCAGATCTGAAGAATGTGCGCTCCAAGATCGGATCCATCGACAACATCAAGTACCAGCCGGGAGGCGGGAAGGTAAGGGGAACAAAAACAGGGGGTCTGCACCTCAGAGAGGTCGATAAATAATTCAGAACAGAGATGTTCCTGTCAGGATTCCTGAAAGGCGGAACAAACAAGCTGGTAGTTTGTAATTCAAATAGCTGTCAGGTGCTACATTATAATAACATGGTTTGTAGTCCAAAAGGCTTTTTCTGCTGTTTCTACATATTGTAGTTATATTACAATCCAGACAAAGTTACCTACCTGTTGGAAAAAGCTCCGTTAATGGCATCAAGTCATCGACTTCTAGAGTAAGGCACAAGAGGAAATACTCAGTTGTTTAATTTGTCACAGAAAAATACAAATAAAATCAAGCCTTGAGTTTCCATTCATTTAGTGAGAGACAAAAAGAAAAACTGTTGAAAAATAATTATTTCCAGACAAATTACAGCCGCCACAGTTATAAGTATCCCAAACAATTTCTATAAAATAAATGTCACCAACTCATTGTTTTAATTTATGCACCGCTCTTCTTAAATCAAGCAGAATGTTAAGAAACATTCAGTTTTTACATACATGGCTGCTTGTTTACCTGGGGTATAAATGTGAAAATAAAATGGCCTGTGTATGTATAATGTATAATGTGACACTGTAGCCACTGTAGTCTTGAAGAGTGGCTGAGACACTCTTCAAGACTACAGTGGCTACAGTGTCACATTAGACAAGACAAGAGAGCATGCCATTCAGCTAACGTGGATGTGTGTTGATCTTCTTCTATCAAGAAATGGCTATAAAAAGTAGCCTCTATATTACATATGTGCCTAAATAATAATAATGAAATAACTTTAATAAGACAACTTGAACGACAAACCAAGCTGGAAGACTGCCACCACGCACAGTGAGAAGTATTGCAAGTGAGGCAGATAAAATCTTCACAACTGCACTAAATTATGTAAATTATGCTTCTGGCATGTAGTGAAAATGGCTGTATATTTAAGAAACACTATTATATAAACTTCTAGAACTGATACAAAGGCCACACACACAATAAAAGCTGGAGCGAGATGTTTTCGTAATGAGCTGCAAAGCTTGAATACAGAACCGAGTCCAGGCGTTGTGGACCTTATGGCTGAGAAAATAATAAGGGCTGCTGTTTTAACTCCGGCCTTTGACCACCACTGTGTTCTGGTCTCAAAGTAACACCAATTAGCTGGTGCTGATCAGCTTAGCTGGTCAGACTTCTCTTTGGAGGATTGTTTAATTAAATTTCATACACCTCTGCTTGTATATGTTGCGCTGTGGTGTGGAATATTTACATCACAATAAAAGAAGCTCAGGCACTTACAAAGGAAACTCAGCCATAGCCGTGACAGTGAAACACATAAGATGTTCAAGTAAAAAAATAAAAAAAAAATTTCACACTTTCATTGAAAACCAAATCACATAAATCGTGTGAGCCTTGAGTTAGTGGACTTTTTTTTTTTAAGTAATCACCATTATACCTTACAGTTTAATTAAGTGGTGGTGTAATTTCAGAAATGGAGTGGGATTTTTTTTTTTTTTTTTGAGTATCATTTTTCAAACGGGGCTTTCTAAAACAGGTTCCATGATTATAATTGTTCTCATAATGAGAAGATAAGCAGCTATAAATCTCTCTGATAACATCTCTCTCTTTCCCGGCATCGATCCACCGCCGTCCTTTTATTCCTTCATCTTTCTGTCGGCTTCCTCTGTCTGTCAGCCCCATCCAACATGCTCCATTATCGGTATTCATCGATGTTTCTCCCTCCTTGTGAGAGTCTATGTAGCACACATGGACAGACACCTGGGAAAACATTTAAACATGTGCAGCTAAGCAGCCTTCACTCCATGCCAAACACTTTGCCTCCATGTCAGATCTGGTCACGTCTCAGTGCCCTGACTGGGTTGTCTGTCTCTGTCTCTTTGGTGTTTGTGACTCCTTGTCTTGGGGAGAGAATTGTGCTGTCACTTTGGATCATAGACATGATCCCTTTATCTGCTTGCCTTGCCTTGTGATATTCTGTCAGTGCAGCTCATCATCGTTTGTCCATCTTCTCCAAGTTGTCTGTCACAGAACCGGGTCTTCTTTTGGCCACACTTCAGTTCACAGGCACTGATTGCTGACACTAAGGCTAAACTTTTAATAATGCATTTGAAGCGTTCTTTTTTCAGCGTGGAATGGCACAATTTCAATCATCTTATAAAAGGTATAAATGTCCCTCAAGAAGTTTCAAGTAAACAAAAGGTTATGACATTGTTCTAATTCGTTTTTCTGATCACTCACCATGTCAGAATTGGTGGATATTATTAAAGTTAGTTTGTTTGCATAGAGCCCGTAAACTTACAATGAGTTTAAGGTCACGGCCATCCCACAGGCCTGATTTTAATCTGCCCAGTCTAAACCAGTTTATATGTTTAGGATCACTGTCCTAATTGCACACACCGTCGTGTCCGAGCTTCACTGCTACTGTGTGTGGAAGTACTGTGTGACTTCCAGAAATGCATATAAAGAATGTTATCTCACAAGATAAAACTGTGGTCTGTTTCAGTTATTGACTGATGTCAGAAATGTATCAGCCAAAGGCCCAATGCCTCCTCTTATTGTTTTAGAAAAAAAATGTTTTTATCATGCAAAATTAAGGATTTTAGGGGTTTTCTTTTTTTGGAGGGGGCGGGGGGTGTTTGGCTTTTACTTGATAGTATTGTACAGTGCAAGGTGATGACAGTGATGATTGGTGTCTCCTGGCATCACCTGATAGCTGATCTTTAGCTATTAATGAGATACATCAAACTCAAATATAAAGTTAACTAAACTATTCTTAACTCAATTGTCTGCTATCTTGCTGTTCTTTCATTGGAGGTAAAAGCAAAAATGAATTTCTTCTAATGTTTCATTTTCAGGCATGTAAGACTTACATCTACTATTCAAAGTGTTGATTATTTTATGTACAAAATCATTGTTGTATTCTTACAGATGCCTCTTCACGTGTTTTCACACCTTATTAAATTATGCAGTTCTTTATCCTTTCATCATACTGCGCATATGTTTATGCTTTTACTTTTTCTGAGGTAGTGAAAGCTCATTTCGGCTCTTTTGTAGTTAAAGTGTATCTACCCCGTGTGAGGCGGTTTCTTGTTATCTAACAGCACAGGAGCAATTTTTGTCCTTCTGTTCTCCTTAAAACGTGCAGAGCTCTCTCTGTCAGATGGGTCCATGCGTCATTAACCTTCTTTTGCCTGGTCGTGCTGTGGGGCTGCAGGCCAGGATGCAGCAGCCTGTGGCTGGATGGAGCAGGGTTCACAAACCTGCTCACATCTGTCAAATCCTCCACAGACCCACAGAGACGCCATCTGCACCGAATTTATCTGAGAGAACAGCAGGCACAGGTCTCTTTTGGCGTCACTCCTTTTCATCTTCACTGTGATCTCTTGTTTTCCCCACAATTATCAGTGTAGATGCATTAGATGCATTTCTTTAAATTGTAATGGCTTCGGATGTGTGTATTTTTACAGGGGCCCTTGGGGGGGATTCCTCTGTTATCTTATTTTTTTGTTAGACATGCTGTTTGTCACCTTCCAAAATAAACCACTGCCCTGAATCACACTTACAAAGACAGTGTATCCACCAGGTGTTACCTTGTTGTTGTTTTTGTTGTTGTTGTTGTTATTTTTGTTGTTGTAATTACCGTCCATCTGAAATGTTTTTTTTTTTTTTTTGGAATAGGACTACTGGTGGTGTATTTGCTAAAGTTCAGGCCATTGTTGGGATGCGTCGCCTCATTCTTTGACTGATCTTATGCTCCTCTGTGCAGCTGTTTATACCACCTTTGCAGAAATGTTCACACACGTTTGAATTTTTTCACATTTTGTCACATTATAACCTGAAACTTCCATCCTGACTTATTTAATGGGATTTTAGGTGACATAGCGACACAAAAAGTAATAAATAAATACAAATTGTATCAAAAAGGTGAGGATTTTGATTTGTTTAAAGATGAAAATCAGAAAAATGTTGCACGCAGTTTGTATTCCGCCTCCTTACATCAGATACCCTTAAATAAAATCCAGCATCTCCAGCTATTTTCAGTCCCCTTGTGTGCAAGTTGCAGCCAGCTGGTTTATGAAGGCTTACAATGTTTATAAGCATCAAGTAACACGCCATGACAGCTTGTAAAGAAATTTAAAGATGAGTTTATGGCGCACAGAATCTGGTTAGAAATATTGGGAGATAAACACAAGGTTGAGCTAAGAAAAAAAACTAGAGGCTGGTTTGACTAAAAACTAGACACACAACAGGAAAACCTGATATTTCTGTCCCAGACACTCTCCACTCAATTCAGCAGAATTAGATAAGGATAACAAAACCTGCAGTCGTGAGATATCACCTCCCAAAGAATGTATTCAGCAAATATAGCACATTTACAGTGACAGTTATTGAGACGGGGGGTCGAATACATACCTTTACCACAGTATGTGCTAAATTCTGTTGGTCTGTCACATAAAATCCCATTAAAACCACAATAAAACACAGACTAAAAGTAGTATATGAATACTTCAGCAAGGTGCTGTATCAGTGGTAATTGTTGCTTACCACTGGTATGATTCAGTTTCAATAAATCTGAACTAATCTACTGGTTTTTTTTTTTTCATTGTTATCATTTTGAAGGCGCTCCATCGGCTTTAAATTTAAATATCTTCCCTGGTCCATTTGCACAGACTGTTTGTTTAAAATGTTTCATACATCCAGAGGTTCAGACTGTGAACTAGATGTATTTGATTCATGTTGTGTTTTCTCCCACCCACTCCTTGATGTTCACTGGCTGTAACAACCCACACACACACACACACACGCACATACACGCACACGCACACACACATTGGATTTATCCAGCCGCTCTCCTTTTGATCACCCTCATGGCCCCATTCGGACTGCTGCTGCTCCACGTCGTTGTGCTTTGGCGTGTGGTTGGTTGGAGGTTTTTATTGACTGGGGGCCTGGTTGTCTCCCCAGGTCTCCTCCACCCCGAACAACAAGACATCCGACCCCGCCACCCCCGCCGCCAAGGCCAGAGTGAGTCTCTGCCACCTCACACACCACTGCATTCTTCCAACCTATCTGCATTCCTCATAAAATGCCACTCATCCCATCTACATCCACTCAACACACACACCACGACTTGATGTTCATATAAACATTACAAGCTACACTTTGCTTTTGTTTTATGTTTGTGCTATTTCCACTGTTGGTTATTAGAGTTATGAATGGATGAAAAAAATCTGAACTTAGTAGTAAAAGTAGAAGTTGCTCGTAATAGTAGCACATTCTACTGTCTTGTGTTTGTGTCGGACTGCGTTGAGCTTTATGTTGATTATTTTTAAGAAGTGAAATAGACCAAAACTAATATGTTATCAACAGGATTTCTCTGGGTTGAAGTAGTATTTATGATTTGGGCCCAGAGTCCAGACTGGAATCTGATGAAGAATTTGTGGAGAGAACTAAAAATTAGGGTGATGGCATGGAGGCATTCTATACTCAAAGACTTGGCGCTTACTTCCAAAGATAAATCATCAGGATGCTGATGGAAACATGCAAAAAGCTGCTCAGGAGCCATACGAAGAGTTAGTTGTAATGTTAATAAAACATTTTCCAGAAAGATAAACGGTAGAAGTAATTTTTGATACAAATTTTTAAAGTAAAATGTAAATAAAAATGTTCTTTTGTAAATTGTTTCTTTTGCATTATTTTATTATCTTCGGATTGATCAGAAATATTTTCACCTAAGATCTGCGAGCAGTAAGAGTAATTTTGAGCTTGAAAACGACTGTAAACTGGCTCAAATGGTTTAAAATATTCAAATTAACAATTTCAACCTTGCTTCTTGAAAACCTGTGTGATTTACTATAGTGACATAAAATGAATGATGATTTCTGTGTGATTTCTCTCCATATCCAGTTTTTTTTTTTTCTTCTTTTGTTTTTTTACTGTACAAATAGGTAAAAGTATGGATAGCATTTTTGACCAGCAGGGATATTTTTCACCTTTACATAACATGTTGTTGATTTCACTGCACCACAACCAATACCACTCATCCTCTAACTCAACCAATTCCATTTCTCAAACATCCGCATCCACTCACACCGTCTACAGGACGTACCAATTGACCCACGTTGTTTTATGTGACATCTTGTATAAAATGGAGTCGATCAAAATCTTCTCTCTGTTCTTCTGTCGTCTCCGGCTTTGCCTCCAGTGACGCCTGATTTAAGTGCAGCCATGGATAAATATCTCTGTTTTTTTTTTCCCTCCATTTTCTGTGCACTTGTGCACATCAATCCTAAGAATAAAACAAAGCAAAAGAAACGTTTCAAAGTTGCACTTTTAATTAGCAGGCTAAAGGAAATCTGCCAGCATGTCAAGCTGAAAATCCGAGACGGTGGCTTTGCTTTCCTTACTGTGTGTCTGTGTTTTTTTTCCTGAACCATTTCTTTCATCTCTCAGTTACAGTGACGGTGAAGACAGCTACCGGACTTTGAAGGCAACAAAAAAAAAAAAAAAAAGACGCCTAAGAAATAAACATTGTGAACTCTGGGCTGTTTTTTGTGGACTTTAACTTTTTACATTTACTGGCACAAATCTATTTTACTTGGATTTTATGTGACAGGCCAACACAGAGCAGTGCACAATAATGACAAGAAAAAAAAAAGAATAATTGGGTTTAGCACATTCTTTTACAATAACAATCATAAGTGTACGAATTCAACCAACCCTCCCACCCACGTCCAGACTTTCTAAAATCATCTTTTGCAGCAATTACAGCAGCAATTAGTATGTCTGTACAAGCCTTGCACATCTAGAGACTGAAATTTGTGTTTGTCCTTACTTACAGAACAGCCCAAGCTCAGTCAGATTAGACACCATGAGTGAAAATCAGCTCCCTGGTTTTACCACAGAAAATTAATTTGATGTACAGTTGAACTATGCTTTGACCTGAATCATTAACAATCTCTGCTCCTGCCCCTGAGTTACAACAGAGCTAGGTGGATGTTCATTTCTTGTTGTTTCGCAGCCTAACTCTGATTTTAAACGTCTCAGCAGCTTCACTTTCCTTTGTCTCACTAACACTGCTTATTCACCAATTTTTCTCTAACAAACATCAAACTCTGACAAGAGAGCCTCTCTCAAAACATCCGGACTTATGCTGAAATTACGCACAATTGGACTTTGTTTGCTGAGTACTTGATTTCTGAAGGGATTTGATTGTAATTGGGGCTATCAGGTTAAGAGAGGCTGAATACGAACGCACACCTCAACTTCTCCTTTTTTATGTTTTGAAACCTTTTCAAACCATGCATCACTTTTCTTCCACTAATATGCATCACTTTATTTTGGCCTGTCAGAGAAAATCCCTAAACAACATTGAAATATGTGGTTTTGACTTCACAAAATGTGAAAACCATATTCAACAGACAAAGTACTTAGTAGGTACCATCAACTCTGTCCGAGAATTTAGTTTTTCACATCATCATATTGAAGTTTTGACTCATCTTACTGCATGAAACGAATGAATAAGGTGACGGCAGGTTCAGGTGTCTTGCAACTGAAGGTTGTGGGATCAGTTCCTCCTTTCTCATTTGTCCGCTGCCTGCTAATCTGTGTATCATGTATCAATGTGCTTTTGAGTGCGAATCTGGCTCTGATCACTACGACCGCTGCAAAAGTTCAGCCCATAAATATTATGGATTACAAACGAACCTTAACACCACAGCAACTTAATTTGTCTGCTTAGAATGAATAATTTTTTTTTTTTTTTTTTTCTAGCGCAACATAAATGAGAAAAAAAACACAGCGGGAGAAGGTGTTTGTACCCAGCTGCTCCTGTGTGTGTGTGTGTGTGTGTGTGTGTGTATGCTCACGTGATAAGTGTATGTGCGCTAGCGGTGCTTAGTGAGTCATCCGTCGCCTGTTCCACCTGCGTCATCATGCTGTGTTTTATCCAAGCGAAGGAGACTTAGACACAAAGAGATTGGAGGAACCCGCCTTAACGTCTGCTGCTGGGCGTTTTTACTTCACACTACGAGCGCAGAGGCAACAAATGAAACGTTTATCTTTATGTCGAATACGTAGTAGAGATCCATGTGATTCATTTCTGCCGGCTTGCTTGGTTTTATTCTCAAAAGTCTTTAGCCAACACTAGTAATAAATTGTCTCCTTGAACTCAAATTCATTGCCTACAATTGAGTCACCTCAGTGCACAACAAGAAATGTGTTTCNTCTTNGTCATTATATTTACTCCCTTTTTTACAGCGCAATAAATGATTTGCAGTTAAGAAGTTATTTTCTTAAGATTAGGATTTACTAAATAAAACCTTTTGAGCTGCAATCGGTATAAAAATATAGATAATGTCACTTTAATTAAGCAGCATCATATCCATGTTTCATTATCCATGATTGAAGCAAAAACACCTTCAAGGTTTGGAATATTTCTTTTCGCCTCATTTCAGATGACTTTGAATTTTCAGATGAGATATTCTCCTTAAATCATGTGTAAAAATATAATGCTTTTGCTGTGCTTACACACAAATGTAAAATGTGTAACATAATTTAAAAACGTTTTCCTAAAAGCATCAAATCTTAAAATCTTTCCTACTGTGACGTATTGAATGTCAGTTAAATGACAAACATGTAATGTACCGGTATTTCTATTTTTATCTTGACATGGATTAACAAAAGACCAATAGAAGTTTTCTCTATTTTTTGTTTGTTTGTTTTTTTTGTTTCAGATCATTTTAGCTACTTTAGTTGGGCTACCTGTTCATTAGTCATTCAGCATTCAGCTGCTTTACAAACATGCCTAACAGTGTGTGTGTTTTGTTTTGTTTTTTTGTATTTGAATTTGTCTTTCTTGTAAGTGTAACAAAAGTGTAGGAGTCTTCTTTCAGCCATCTGATCAGCAGTGTGCAGCAGTAGATTGGGTATGGGGAGCAGTGAGAGTAAGCAGAATACAAAGTCAAAAAGCACTCATTTAATGTTCATCATGTTTAACCTTAAAGGTGAGTTACAGGTTTGCTTTGGAGCTCAGCCTCTTGTCTCAGGTTTTTTTTTTTTCTTCTTCCCATAATTCAGACGTCTCAGCCAAACAAATGTGCATAGCAGCAGGTTGTTTAAAAAACAAAATCATGGGCACAAAGCTACATCAGAAAGTTTTGAAAGTTAGCAGCCTCGTCTGTCACTTTCTGTTTCGTTTGTTTTGAGAGGCACCAATTATAAAATCACAGATTTTTTTTTTTTTTTTTTTTTGCTGCATGTGCTCGGTCTCATTTTCACTGGTTTTCTGTGCTGTTTTAATGTAGCTAATGCATTTTATGGAAGCACTCTTGTTATTCTGTCAGAATGCACCCCCTGCCCTTCCCCCCTTTTAAAGAAGCATTCCCTAAAAATGTGCAATTAACAATGCTTTCAAGAACCACTGAGCTAACATAACAAAGCAACTGAATAACAGAATCTCTTCCATAGTTTTAGTACAAGTCTACTCTGTTTTTGGCCATCTAAAGCCGCCAGCTGATCTGCTCTTTTCTGCTGCTCCTTTCTTTCTTTCTCCTCTCTTTTTCTTTCTCTTTTTTTTTCTCTCTTTCTGTCTTTCGCTTTTCTGTGTGTATGTGTGTGTGTCTGCCTGCCTGCCTGTCTTTAGGTTCAGATAGTGCACAAAAAGCTGGACTTCAGCCACGTCACCTCCCGCTGTGGCTCCAAGGACAATATCAAACATGTCCCTGGAGGTGGCAATGTAAGTACTGCTGGAGCCAAGGGGCAAGACTCTGGATCGGTTGGACGCATTTGCATCTCTCCTTTTTTATATATATGTATATGTATATACAAGCCCTCACAGCTTGCTTTAAAGCCAAATGTTTCAAAGAGATTCATTTGCTCTGACGCAGAATGGACGATCTGGATCTGTCAATCTTCGCTGATTGGGTCTGATCTAGAAACTATTGGCGTGTCCATCAGAGCGAGGAGGAAATTGAGTTCAACTATAAAGCCGCCTTCTCCTATATCAAACGTTTAAATGAAACTGATCGTCTTCAAAGTGGCCTGGAATTGAAGCATTGTAATTAGCACATCAGTGGCCCCCACTGTTTGCACTTTTGATTGATTTTACTTTTGAGCGTCCACCCCTCCGGTTCTTCTTCCCATCTGCTTTAAACACCTGCTGCTCTATCCCATTGCATCTCTTGGCTGCTCTCAACAACGGCTTTGCCAGCTAAGGCTTGTGAATAAAACACCAAAGGTTTTATTGTATTAATATATAGTGAGGAATTATGTACCAAGTCAGTCTAAGGATTAAGCAAGGCTAATTTACCCTGTTTTAGACTATCAACCTGCACATATTGTGCACCATTTTACGTTTGATTTATATAAATGTGTGCATGTTGTGATCATGTGATGCCTGAAAAAAGACATCGTGTCTAAAATAAATCCAAATCCCATGGGAACTCCCCCGCCCCCCATTTCCTACAGTACTATAATTAAAAAGCAGCAAATGCATCATAATATAAAAACAAACAAAAAAAAAACATGACAAACAAAGGACAAATAAAGTATGTTCAAAATGTTTCACTATGAAATTTAAGCTGAATGGCATTCTCCTGTATTCTGCATACATACAGTAAAAGCATGACGCTGGCACCTCGAAAAAGTAAATGGGTTTTGCTGTTAAGCTGAGCGGATGCTGAAGTGCTACGTTCCGCGCTGGATCTGGTGATTTAATGGGCAGCATTGTGATCTGTGTTCTCCTCCAGGTGCAAATCTTGAATAAGAAGGTTGACGTGAGCAAGGTGACCTCAAAATGTGGCTCCAAGGACAACATCAAACATAAGCCAGGTTCAACTTTAAACTCTTCTGGGGGGGGGGTTCCTCCCTTCAAACTCTCAACTTCCTCCATTGTGTTCTCACGGTCGCTTTCGTTTTCCTGCTCCAGGCGGTGGTGACGTGAAGATCGAATCCCACAAGGTCAACATCAAGGCCAAGTCTAAGATCGGATCCCTGGACAACGTGGGACCAGGCAGCGAGCAGACAAATGGACACAAGGTTAAATTTAAACACAGTCTGCAGTGTTGTGTTTTTTTCATAGCTAAGTCTGGTCCTGCTGACTCACTGTGCTGCTTCTGCCTATCGCCACTAGGTGGTGTGAGAGTTCAAGAGTTGGCTGTGAGAAAAACATTTTTTTTTTGTTTTGTTTTCTGCCCACCTGTCTGTGTGTGTCCTTGTGCTCGTCTATATTTGGCCGCAGGAGGAAAAAACAGGAGAGAAGACATCTCCACCCGCAAGTGGCGCCCCACAACAAACAACCGCACCGGCAGGCGTTGCCAAGGAGAACGGCATGAAGGAGCCCACTCCTTCTCCTTTTGGAGGAGACGGTCTAAAGGAGCCCCTAAGCATAGACAAACGCATCACTGAGAAAAGTGGGTGCAAAATCCTACACAGTGCTCATTTTGGCGAAATTGTAAAAGCTTATTTGTGATTTTAACTTTTCAGTTGTTGCTTTACTTGTCGAGCTTTGTTCTCGCACAGCACAGTTATGTGACAGATGAGCTACACTCAGAGGAAAGAGGAGGTAACAGCAGATTCCTTGTTTGTGGTTAACAACCCAGAACAAGACTGTGTTTGAACACAGAGCTGAATCCTCTACTGTAGTGCCTTTCACAAATCTTCATACTCATAAATATTTGTCACTCTGTGTCATGGTGCAACCACTAGCGTCGTTGTACTTTGTTTTTATTTGATCTGTTAGGCCAGCAGACCTAAGTCGTTGCCCTTCTTTGCAAGATAGCTGAAACTTGATTAGATGTAATGGAGAGCATATATGATCAGCATTTTTCTGGTGTTGCTGCTGATTCTGATTGGATTTAGGTCAGGGCTTTAACTAGCGAGTTCTAGCACATGAACTTGGTTTGATCTAAACTAGAGCTGGAAAATATTTGCTAATGAGAATAGGTGAACTTTTTGTCCTGGAGGTTAGGTACCAGAAACGAGAGAGAGAGCTCCTCCAAGTCGGTCAGATATTGCTTATTATCTTGGAACCAGTGAGGAGTGGTTTCGGTTGTCTGCATATTAAGCATATTAAATCAAGGTATAACTGCAAATGCATCCCGGAGTGTATTTTTTATGATTTTTTTTTTTCTTTGAACAGACCTAGGTGGTGTACATGCTCTGCTGCAGTGATAAAAATAGCCAACAAATGAAATTATGAGTAGACCTTCAGAGTAGAGATTAACAGGTCTTTGTAGATGAATTACTCTTCATTACTGCAACAGGCCACCAGACTGTGAGATCAAAGACAGCGGGAATCTTCCACCTCATGCTGGTATCAGATTTGGCTTATTTGATTTATGGCTGCAGCACTATTTTCTTTATTCAACCTTTATTTTACTAGGATAAAATCCCACTGAGATTAAAACCCTATTTTCAAGTGAGTCCTGGCCAAGAGGGAGGACTCCACCTGCCAGTGCCCTTCTACTGACCCCAATACCATTAAAAAAATAAACTTTTTGACCTATCACTCCAATGAAACTCCACTAAACAGCAGCAAACTATTAATTACAGACCATCTGTCCAGAATTTTTTAAGCTTGTCGTTGCCATTTTCAGCATCTCTCCAGGTTCTGTGTGTTTCTTGCGTTTTCTGAGTCTGTTGTTCTTGTTTTTCTGCAGACTGAGTCCCTGTGAGCTCCAGATAGTGGTGGGACATGCATGACGCTCACTGACCTGCCAGTCAACTGACCAACAAAATTACCACGGCACAGTCTCTTCCCTCTGGCCCCGCCCTTCACCTCACCCACTGCAGCATCGAATCAACCGATTGCCTCTCAGTGTTTCTCTGAGGTCCGCCTGCCAGCGTCCTCCTACCAACCCCGATCTTTGACCTCTAAAAGCACCCGAGCTGACATTTTGCCCTGTAACCTGCAAAGAAGACCACTTGTTGTTTGTCTACACATCTCTTTGTGGGGTTCCACCAGCTTGAATATCTCGTTAACCACAGACATAGTTAAGTTTCACCCCTGTTCACAAAATCTAACAATCCAGACACAGAAAATACCCTTAAGCAGAGTCACCCACTTCAGATATTGTTCAACCTACGAGTCTCAGTGCTGATAAAACACTTTTCTCGGATCTCTTCGGAAAGCCTTCACCTTCCAAAACTCCACTGATGTTCTAACCGTGTCAGTAGAACTGTACTTCACTTCCAGTTCAGTCCGTCATCTAGTCTTTCTTATTGGTATTCAACAGCTCACACTATTTAACCACACTCGTTATGATATGGTTAATATGGTTTATTCAGTGAAAAAACTAACTGCAGTGAGGTTTTTAACACCTTATTAACATTTTCCTGATAGACTTGGTAGAAGTGGTTGCAGAGAACACCATGGAGTTGTAATCGGCTTAAAAGTGTTTTACTAAAAGGATCTAATAAAGTTCAAAAGCTCACTTAGTGTATTTTTGTCAGACGTAGGCTGCACATTAAGATGAGAGAAGTGCCAAGAAACCAGCTTATGACAGAGTAATCAACCTGTTTTTCAGCTCGATTGTCCGCTATCAGTCGGAAATTCAAAAACCGGATCATTTTCATGAACATGCCATATTTCTACTTGGGGAAGAAAACTTAAAATTAGCTATTTTCACTAGTGAGATGTTCAAAACTGAAGTCAGAGGTAGATGGGAAGCTCTTTAAAAGGAATCTGTATTTTCTATGACGTGCCAAGATGTGTCTGCGTGTTATTCAGGTTGCGAGAGAGTGAAACTTTTCAAGCAGATAACATTAAGGCCAAACATATGTCTTCATAGTTGCCGTGTTTTATCCTTTCAAGCTTTCAAACTCTGTCTTTTAGTTGGAGGCATTATTAAAAATGTGATTACCTCAAAGGAACGTCAAAAGAGGAAGGATGGAGAACGTTTGAAGCTTCTCTGAGTGGTCTTGGCTTTAAATTGATGATACTGTTGTAAGTTGGGGTTGTAACAGGAAGACCCTAGTCCCTTTTGTTTGTTATCTTATGTTGCCCCCTTTTTAAATCAACAAACATAAAGGAATTGGTACACTGTGTACTTCTTTAAACTGTTGTTGCAGACAGTATTTATCATCTGGTTATGGAAAATGTTCTGGCAGAATTGATGTTGTGATCTAGAAAACAAAGATTAGAAGCTTTTCCAGTGGCTATCGCGAGCATGTCTTAACCCCAAATAGGCAACATTTAGAATAATTATTGTGCCAAGTTGTACACAAATATGGGTATTAATAAACAGTCTGGAAATAATGCTTATGAAGATGCAGCAATCTTTAGTTTTTTACCGTATTAAACATTTAATTGAGGTTGATCTCGTTCGGTGCAGTTGAAAAGGCAAAAGAAAAAAAAAAAAACAGTTCTCCTACGTCAGACTCATTTAAGCACTTCCAGACATTCAGACATATATATTACTCTGTTCAACACATGTTTCTGCCTTTCTACTCATGACGCTAACCTTTTTATAGTCCACCCCACCCCCTTCCTGCACACCTGCAACCCCTGTGAGGGAGCTGTTACTCTGAGATGTGTCTGGTCTACAATCATTAGAGAAAAGCAGGCATAGGGTATGCCATACCCCTTCTTTCCTTCGTGAATCTGTTGCTCCTCCTGGTTATGTGCGTCACCAGATCTGAGGGTTGAAAGCCCTCGCTGCAGGCAATGAACCACGCACACACACACATATATATATATATATATCTATAGGATAAGTTCACACACGCATACACATCGGTGTGCCTGAGCACCGAACAGTCACACACCAAAAGCCACCACTTTGTGGTTGGGTAGTTCACACTGACATACTAATATTGCTGAAACAATGGTTTGTTTCATTGTCATTGTTGCATATTTTACCACACTGGCTTCCCATGTTGCAGCGTCTCTGCATCTCTTTCCTCTTCCTGTGTCTTTCTCCAGCTTTCTGACAGCAATACAGTAATATTATAAACGAAGGCTTCTTGTCACCTGCGCATTTACGTGACACAAAGACAGAAAGAGGACAGAGAGCGGCTGAAGTGAAGAGAAGTTCAGAGAGAGGAGACAGTTGATCTATAGGAGGAATAACAACATAGCATTCATGTTTAAAACTTTATGGTCATTTAGGGGTTTTTCTGTACACAATAAAATCCTCCCGCTTACAGTGAGACTCAGAGGAGCAGATCGTTAGGCTTCAAGTTTTCTGCTGCTCTTCTTGGCACATATTTTACCCTGACATTTGTATTGTAAATAGATGACAAAAAAAAGGGTTTTTGTTAAAAAAAACTTTTGTGCAGCATGTTTGATTTGCGTTGGATGCCGTTTAAATATACAGAATGTTCTTAAATCGTACAACGCTGGACAGCAGGAACTGCCCAGCTCTAAAATGCCATGACTGCAGCAGCATTTTAGTTAAGCAGATCCCAGAACAGCTCGTATATTTGAAGTTTTCTTTCTAAAATACGTGTCATTTTAAAACTAGGAGAGGCTAAAAGCAGTTTTGTTCACATTTATTATACACATACATTGATCCTTTTTGGAGCAGCTGGCTGGGTTGCTTTAATCATATTCCCTTAAAGTAATTTGCTGTACGTTACTCCTAGTGCAGGCTCCCCTCGACACTGACTTTGATTTAGGCCAAAACGTTTCTGAAAAGTGCTACGCGTCACAAATCGAACATGGGTAGGCCGTGTCCTTCCTGCTCACAGTGATTTCAAGGTTGGGACGGTCTCTGGTGAATACACGGAGGGATTTGCGACATCTCTGTGGCGTACTGTAGTTGTCAGATGTGTGAAGTGTTACTACTGCATTCATCCTGTAGAGAGCGCTGCTTAGCCTCTTGAACACTGATAGTCTGGCTCTGTGACTTTACAAGAAGCTAATCGACAAACATCCCCCACCAGATTTCCCTATCCTGTACTTATTTAAGCTAGCGCTCTGTTATCGTGTCTGGAACACTAAATATTATCAGCACCACATGGCTCGTGTAAAGTTCCCTTATAGGAAAAAAAAAAAAAAAAAAAAAAGGTTTTGTGCACTTTGAACACGGTCTAGTTCATTTCTTGATGCACTCAAGTGATATAGCTGTACTCAAGTTGCTTTACTGCATATTGGTAAAACCTCGTCAGCTGTGTACTGTACGTGTGTGCTTCTGGGAACAAAACCGTCTTGGTAGTTTAGTGAAACTTACGGTGATCAAAGAGCAAGTGATCAACTAGTCAACAGTTAAGTCTAGAAAACTTAAGAACAACATATAGGCGTATTTATTATCGTATTGTTCCTTCCAAACAATTCCCTCGAGTTGCCTGAAAGCAACACACGTGACATGACACATGCGTGGATCATATGTGAAAATATTAATAATAATAATAATGTGAATCTTTCTTTTGTTTTTTGTTTTTTGATTTTATTTTTTGTTTTTTCTTTGCAGGCAGAATAACTGAAATATCAAAGCACTTTGATAGATGTAGGTGCTGGACTGTGTATAGAGGAATAGGAGAAAGTTGTAGTTTTGTTGTGTCTCAGTAGCTCATTGTAAGAGTGCGCCGTCATAATGAGGAGATGAGCTGCTGTTTGGTGGATTTTAGTGGAACTTGGGTTATCGGTGTTGTGCTGCTGGCTTCGATAGTCAAACACTCAGCTCTCCAGGCTGCCCTGATGATATTCTTGTTGACATTCTCCGGGATTTACATTCTGGCCAAGCTGCAAGGTCACATCTACTGAATGGAATCATATATTTTTATCTTCTGCTCAAAAGGCTCACTGAACTCTGAGCCACCTTTCTTTAATATACGGTAGTTTACACACTAGGATAGATGTAACCACTAGATGGGTTAACAAAATGTGCACTATTAGCAGAAGATGGTAGCTTTCAGACTTTATTTACATGCATGAAAACTGCAAATACTAAGTTTTCCATGTGCTGCCATACTAACAGACATGTTCAAAAAGTTGCGCAACAACACTTGGACTCAGTTTGGTTTGTTTGTAATGGAAAAATTAAAATAATGTTTAAAAAAAAATCTAATGGATTAGCACAACGTGACTGGTTTAAAAGATACAGTCAATATGCATTTAATTTATACTCAAAAGTACGACTTTCCGAAGTCAAAATTAATACAACTGCCTTACATTTAATGTTTGGCAATAGCTGTACTTAAAAAAAAAAAGAACTGTTTATCTAAAAGCTTTTATAAACAGAGTACTGCAATCACTTTTAATTAACATGTTGCTATAATGTTTGAAAGTGCAAAATGTAAGACATACATTGTTAACTTACAGGCTAATACAACTTAGCCTGGTTAATAAATCTCTACCAAATTCAAACATTTTTTTGTTCCTTATTTAGATTAACTTTGTTTTGACTGATATAAGAAATTGTTCAATAAGCGACTTGGTCAAATCAAGGGAAATGGGGAATATAAAATCAATATTTTTCAAAAGCAGGAGTGTTTTTGTCATATTATCTTTTATTAAATAAATAATCTATATATATTTATTGCACCAGGCCACTAAAAATCTAATTCTACATAATACTTATCTGTAATGTACAGCTTTCAAACTGATATTATTATTGCTTAAATCTACAGTTTAGGTGTTCAGTAATGGACCATTAAATCTTCCAAGATTATAAAAATTTAATAGGATTGCAGTGCTTATTATTTAGTAAAGCATTATTTAGTGAAAGAGGATATGGGAAGAAGTTAATGTTGCTTTGCAGCTTGGACAAAAGGTAATAACCAGATTCACTCTAATATCAACTCACAATGGTTTCGTGTAGCCTTTTAACAACACCCTTCCACTAGTATCTCACACTGTCCCTTGTACATAATCAACACTGTGTTTTTATCACCCCAGAAGTATTTAATTAAAGTTAAAAACAATAGAGAA